TGTCACACCTTTTTCACCAGTTTTTAATCAAAGTCTATTTGTAAGGGTTACTGACGGTCCTAATCATGAATATGGTACTAATTATTCATGCTAACTCCATTTTGCGCGAATTTTGAAACGTCAACTCGAAATGCAAAAATTTGTCACCACGAGGAATCGAACTAGGGACCCCTTTTCTGGTATTCAGAGGGCCGTTCAGGAAAAATTAACCATGGTTCTGTGGTTCCCGCATGTGCCCCTATATCATGCAAAAGACCGTTTTCAAAAAGCTTGGCACGCCCTGAAAGACCTTCCTGGTAGAGGCTTGTGCCAACCGCTAAACCCACTCATTACCCGCAGAACGATAGTTTTGTCTCCGATAAACAACGAACGAACGGGGGGAGTAAGGCTTCATTCGACTTCGGTATATGGGCACACAGGCCTGACGGCACTTTGATAATATAATAGCCAACAGCAATCTATTGAACACCGCCTTGACTCTCGATATATCCACACAAGGAACACTATGAAAAATAACATCGACAATGCAATACGAAGCGGGGCATCATCTCTATGTCTGGAAATGATCACACAATAACTGGTGCACCAGACCACGGTTCAACGAAAGGTCGATTCACATCAAGGAAAAAAACCAGAGCATCCAGATATCAACAGCGTAAGGGAGTGCAAGAAAAGGAACAGCCGGTAGAATCAAACAGATAATAATCTCTCTTTGTCAATAAGTTCGGCCTCTGAACGTCTCATACAGGCCTTGACGACTGTGATCCTAAAACGTTGTGGCACCTGTTCTGCAACCTGAATACCAATTCCTGTTTAGATACGAACAAGCTTCTCATGGAGGACCAAAAATCTATGAGGAAACACATTCCAAAACCATAACAACTTGCGCTTCATCTTGCTGAAGCATCAGGACCAATCTCTTCCCCCAGAAGTTCGGATCTCGATATGTTGGAGTGCGATTATTCTGGAATATGGTTTATGCCTGAATTACTGATTCGTCTAGGTTCTCCATAACAAACAGTAATTCATGAAAGCCCTGAGAACTCGAACACATGACCTAAGCCACACCGGCCGTACCGGATAAACGAAACGCTGATCGCGTAGCTCGACTAATTTATAATACTAAAACAACTAACCTCTGTGGAAGCAGAATTGCACGTGACAGTGCTTACCGATTGCAAGCTTACAAGACGTGTCGTCGTGGCATCGACACGTTCCATCACTTGCGGAAAAAGTGGTTGCGGAAGAATATATGATTCTCACGCTTGTGAGAGTGAACTGGGAGGGATGGGTGGGCGACTCTGGAAGTCGAAAAGCCGGAATGGAGACCCTTCTTACGAAATCCCAGGGATGCGCAGAACGCGACGCTACCGCGTCGCTGGCGCATCCGCACCCTGCGTTCTTATGAAATCCAAAACTCCATTTTTGCCTCCGATAGACTACGGCAAAACCTCTGTTTTGAATTTCAACGAACGAACGGAAATAAGTTAAAGCTCGAGGGTTGTGCTGTGTAGCATAGAGCAAGAGAAAGCGCCGATTACTATGGAGTAGTCCTACCAATGACGAACTCGTCGTATTGATACTGCTACCCTACGCGGTAGTAATCCACGTACTGATCCTGAGAACCTCAGGGGAACCCCCTGAAGGTAACCAACAGTGCGCAAAATGATTAACTTCTCCAGCGGACGTGTGTTTCGAAGGGAACACAGTGAATTAGAGTACTGTTCCCGACCAATTTAGTACCGCACCTTGGTGGATTGCCAAACCTGAGGTGCGCTGGAGGATCCAACAAATCACCTATACTTCACACAATTTCTGATCCTATCCTAGCTATGCATCATGATGCGCTATGAAATGGTTTTTGATAGAATTGGACAAGCGGATCGTGTGGTGTGGACTACAGCCCGTCAAAAGAGTAGCTAATCATGAATGTGAGAACAGCGCTCTGAAGAAAACTAATCGAGGTTTCAGTTACGAACCATGCAAAGTCGTTATATCAAACGTCACTGTCCTTGGTTTCATCTCTCCATGATGTAGTGAACCTATCGACGGCATGATATGATTAGAGAAACTAATTATTTGAATGAGTGATTTGCTCACCCATACCCCATTACAACGAGCGCGAGCAAAACGAAGGTTCAGCACGATCCATATCTCCTCTCTACAGAGTATGCCGAGAATAATAGTTCTATGAAAGCAAAACTGCTTGAAGAAAGGCAAACTTTCTACGCCCAAGTTACAAGTTGAGGCAAAAACACTTCAGCTGTTTTCACGATATCCTATTATATTATCGGTGGGTCACCACCGCTTTATTATACGGAATGCGGCGAGCAGAAATACCTGTAGCGGCGGAAGGTCAACCTCGCTGTCGTGTACCTACAGGGATTTATAAGTCCCGAGGCGTGACACCTCGCAAGGTTCCCGGGTATCGAAAGCTGCATGAAACCTATGACGTCCTACCGAGAAGACGCACGTGTTTGTGTACTCATCGTATCTCGGACGGAAATGCGACCTGCCTTCCAAGAGCGGACAGCACCATCACGTAGGACTGTATCTTGTAAATTTGACAATCTCTATTCAAGATACGAGTATATTTACTGCTCTCCTGAAATCATCTAGTTTTTGTATTAGGAGTAATATTGTGAGAGATATTCACGCTGGCTACGGGAGGCTATGTGTAGTAACCTTGACCGTTTACATGCGGCCTTTGCACTAATAAATGGAGAAGGCTGCGTTAAGCTGAGTCAACGCTTTTAGGTTATGATGTCATAGCCCTCGCACCGGTGTGCGGAATAAGCCGGTCCCGGAAGCTAATCTAGGCACCGTTCATCTTGTGTCGCTTAAACGGACCTGGGGCAGATTATGGGCTACGAGAAGCCGGATTAAGCAAGGTCCATATTGTAACAAACTCTAGATATACATATATGAATCACGCCAACATGCGGAATTTTCAAGGCTGTGAAAAACCCAAGTGACCAATGCGCAATGTAGACAAATTTTGTTTCGCACCGTCGCACCAGAATGAGTAATGTATGAATGAGTAATGTATACAGGCTACGAGAAGCCCGATGAACTAAGGTTCAGACTGTAGTAAATTCTCTTTCACATCATCGCACCAACGTGCGGAATATATACAGGCTACGGGAAGCCAGTGAACTTATGTCCATATTGCAACGACCCCTATATATCGCATCATCGCACCAGAATGCGGAATGTATACAGGCTACGAGAAGCCCGATGAACGTTCAGACTGTAGCAAATTCTCTATCACATCATCGCACCAACGTGCGGAATATATACAGGCTACGGGAAGCCAGTGAACTTACGTTCATATTGCAACGAACTCTATCGTATCATCGCACCAACGTGCGGAACATATTCAGGCTACGGGAAGCCATTGAACTAACGTTCATATGCAACGTCCTCTATATCACATCGTCGCACCAGAGTGCGGAATATATGCAGATGACTAGAACTCAGATGAACCAACGTTCGTATTGTAACGAACTCTATCACATCATCGCACCAACGTGCGGAACATATTAAGGCTACGGGAAGCCATGGAACTAACGTTCATATGCAACGTCCTCTATATCACATCGTCGCACCAGAGTGCGGAATATATGCAGATGACTAGAACTCAGATGAACCAACGTTCGTATTGTAACAAACTCTATACACCCTTGGAATACAGCATACGAACAGCCAGATGAATAACATTAAGTATTGTAAACAACTCCAAATCACATCATCGCATAGCGTGCGGAACTTATACAGGCTACGGAAGCCAGATGAGCCAACTTCTTAATGCAACGAACCCTTTTTAACCTTATCGCACCAGAATGCGAAATATATACAGGCTACGAAACTGCGCAAAACCACACGAATCAGCATTTATAATGAACAAACTTCGGTTTCACATCATAACCCAGCGACTTGTTTCAGATCAACGCACGATGTGCTGAATTCATAGGCTCTAGGAGACCTTTCAGCTAACTTACACGGGTAATACTGGCTCTAGCATTGCAGCGGTTCTGAAATTTAGAGAATGCGCAAGACCGACAACGCTGAACAAGCATTTAATATCCTTCAATTATACTGTGCACACTGGATGCTATGAGCATCTATCCCTATGAATAGAAAAATGGAAAACGGGATTAGCGACCACGCCGATAGAGAATCACTCGGCTGTAAGCAGGCCAAAACTCTGACGAGAAAGTCAAGCGCCAACCGACTGCCTTGTGATATTCTCTGCAGTCAGTCTTCGCAAGCAGGTGCGTAAAGGCAGCGACCCAGGAAGAGCCATGGACTACCTATAACCTCAATATATATACCGCTAAGCAACCCATACAGACTGAGGAATGGTCAGCAAGTGTAGGCTATACGCTGTCCTGGACTCTTTTTGCGTCCTCTTCGTAGAAGCACATGCTAGTTGCGGAACACTGAAAAGATCGTCAACTGTGAGGGGAATATGATGAAGGATTTCATGATGATCGCATTGCATCGGTGAGGAAATTGTCCTTGTACAAGTTGCTGTGGAAATCCTTAACCATTATGCTCTGCGAGGAGCAGAAGCTGAATACCCAGCTAAAATTGTCCAATATTTGAGAAACTGCTTCTGTATACCTGCTAGCAAGGAATAGAAGTAACCGATACAACGAAACGCATTTGCCTTGGCACAATCTTTATTCTTCAGACCAAACCCGTTTTAGGCCTATTATGGCGAATTTGCTTTAAACTGCAACATTAGCGAACGCACTGACCTCTGGAAGTCCGAAAAAAGCCGGAATGGAAGACCCTTCTTACGAAATCCCAGGGATGCGCAACGCGACGCTCCCGCGTCGCTGGCGCATCCGCACCTTGCGTTCTTACGAAATCCAAAACTCCATTTTTGCCTCTTTTTATGGATTTACGCGGTAGCACCTCATAAATGCTGAAGACAGACTTCTTTGGTGAGGGCAGGCTATTAGACGTTGCATCAGCAATGCCCCCCGCCCCATTACTGGATGAGAACGCCCTGTCATAATGCTTTAATTTCATTCACAACTTTGTGTGTTCCCGAGCTAGCTCTATGAACAATTTTTTGCACACACTTTTGTATGCCTACGTTTTCTCGTGAGTGCAACATTAATTTTTAGAAGAATGCCACACGACAAAAAGAAATCAAAGAAAGAGCATAAGCGGTCAAGAAGTCAAAGAAAAGCATTCACACAAGAAGTCAAGAAAACGCACTCGGTCCAGTTCCTCCTCCTCGAGCAGCGACTCCGACAAGGGCGATTCTAGGTTTCAGGTACCTATTTTGTGACTATACTTGCGAATTTTAACTTTTCATCTGCATTGAAAAGTGTCTCTGCCGCATGATGGCTGCGATTCTATTCTATTTTGACTTTCATCTTTCAGACGGTCCTCGATGAACAGCGTGCCGAGAAAAGGCGTCTACGAAAACTAGAGAAAGAGAAATTGAAAGCAAAAGAAACTCCTGAGGAGAAGAGAGCACGTCGTTTGGCGAAAAAACTTAAAAAAGTACGTTAGAGCTTCCTCACTTTGATGTGTTGTTTTTTACAGTTCTTCCCTTTCTTCAGTTCGTTCCTTTGTTTTTGAGTGAATGGCGAGTTTCAGGAAGAAAAGAGGAAGAAGGAGAACAAGAGCTACTTACCGCCTCAGATAGCTTATACGAATCTGAACAATCCATTCAACGATGTGAACCTTACTGAAACTTTTGTATGGGGCAAGAAACTGGAGCGAGAAGGCAAAGCTGGGCTTTCACGCAAGGAAATCGAAAAAGAGTGGAATTAATTAATATTATTTGATATGAATAGTGGAGATTTTAACCACTTTCTTATTTTTGCTAGATGAAACCTTCGTGATCGATGATCTATTGGCGCTTTACAGAATGCGCAGGCGAGTAGAGAAGAATTTACGTGAAATGGAGGAACTGAAACGTGCACGTGATGCTCGCCTGGCTGCCCGCGAGGATATGGAGATGATGCAACGCGAATGGCAGATCGAAATCCCCCATGCTGAATGGTCGCTCTAAGAAGGGTTTGTTTTTTTTGGAGTTCAAACTGCAGACCCCAGGCGCAGGTACCGCAAATGTCTAGTCATATTATTTCCAGACAATTTCCTTATGTCCACCTCTTTCCGCTTTCTTTATCGACTTAAAATGTATTGCTTAGGTCCGATCCAGAATCCGTATTGAGCAGAACCGAGCAAAGCCTATTGATTTGTTATCAAGGTTTGTGTCATTTTTCTTTTTGTATGTAGTTTCTTGGCTAGAGCAGCATTACCTGAATGTCCACGTGGCAGTTACGCTGAATTTTTGCATTTCGTTCCGAGTTTTCGCTTGCTTTATCGCTTTCTTCTTGTTTGTTAGACGGAATTGGTCGCATCAGTACTAGGAAAAAGAAGGAAATTGTGGATGTGCCTTTGATAATGTTCTGTATACTGCGTGAAGTAAAACCTATTTTTCTTCACTTTGAGCGTATCTAAATTCGAATTGCAGCAGTCCAGAATTTAACAATTAAGCTTCAAGATTGAATTAGAGCCAGCTATCAAACGTGATAGTGGTACCTGGCATGTTATTAGCCTTTCCAAAATTGCTTTTATAAATACCTATCGTGGTCTCGTCCATGGACCTCCGTGGAGAAGGGGGGGTGCACAAGCTGTAAACAGAAATCCAATTTTTGCAGAGGGAAGAAGACCTGAGGAGTGGGTGAGCCACCCCTCTTCCGCTTTTACACCCACCTGAAGCTCCCTTTCCTGCTGAACGTTTGACTACTTTAGACGATATGAACTGTCGCACCGCATGCCCCTTACTGAGTGAGACCCGATCATTGATTTTTTACATTTTCTACATTTCCTGCAATTTCAGGTACATATCCAGTTCGGGGACGAAAAGAAGGAAGACGATGAGGAGAACCCGACAGACCATTCGAACCTTGAGAACCACTGAGTACTAAAGGTTTGAGTCAGGATGAATATGAGATTTGGTTGAGGATATCAAGGTTTGCATTTCTCGTAGGAGCTGATTTTTCGTGGAGCACTCCTTTTTTTGCGGTGTTGGCGAAAGTTTTGCGTTTGCAGATATACCGCTCTCTTGATGGTGATCGCCATAGTGAATATTGGAGTGATGTTCGTTGTGTTGTGGACGATGAACTGCGCAAAATCAGAGACGATAAAGGCAGACTTGGCACTTCTATTCATGGTTCAGTTCAGCAAGATGTTGACAAAATCTTCAGAGTAAGTGCGTTCACAAATGGCTTTGTTTTTTGAATTTTTCCATGTCTTCTTCTTTTGGGTTTTACTGATGTCTCGAATTTTTTAACGCAACATTCATTTTCTCTCTTCATACGAAAAGGGGAACCACAGAACTACTAATGAGAAATGTCTTGAACTTGTGGAAAAGGATCAAACTATTCTTCATATGAAAGTGCCGTACTGTCCTCGTCGGAACAGCTTGATTGTGTTCGGGCTTCATCATAGTGCTCGTTAAGTGCCGCTGGTTTCCGCTCCACAACAAACCTGCAACACTATTCACACTTTGGTCCTTTGGGTTGTTTTTGGTAATATTTCACCCAAGGCATATGCGATCGTTGTGCAGTGTCTTAGACGGATGGGATTAACGTCATTTCATGATCATTTCTTTAATTGTGGACCCGTTGACCTTTTTGTTTCCTCATGGGGCTTGGGACAACCGAGCCAGGTACTGAGATACGTTGATCAATTGATATTATCCCTTACGGTATAGCAGTTGCTAGAAAAGAAGAGTGGAATCAGCTCAGCATGTTTTACCTTGGTATTTCATCCTCTGTAGGATCACGCTCAAAATCGAAATTGTCGTCGTCGTCTTTTATACCGCCTACATCGTGAATAATTTCTTTAGTGAGCTCTTCCAATCTGTCATATTCGGTGCTCGATACTGGGTCTGATGAACCCTCTCTCGTTATAGTGTCCAGAATTTTTTTGTACCTAAAATGCGATCTCAATACCTGAACACTCCCGTGTTGTCTCTAACTCACTGATGTGGTAATCCCTCGAATAGATCACCACAATTAATTGATTTGATCTTGGTCCATTTTACATCTTCGGCGCGATCGTTTTCCCATGGCACTGTGCCTTTGACGAGGTAGACGAAGAAGTAGAGCCAAGCTTCTAGTTCGTCTCGGCACGAGATAGCATCTGAGTAAAATGAAATGATGATGTGTTTTGTAGGGGTGTTCTTTATGGAAGTTCACCGTCATCGTGGAAGGTCATAGGCGCAAAAAGTAGACCGCCACACCAATGTGGCATTACCAGCTCGTGGTTGTGGGTGTCAATTTTGGATGTGTCCTGAAGAAGTGTATCTGATTCAGACGCCATTTGAACACCTTCCATTCCTTTTTCCCCTGCGCGTCAATTATGTGACACCAGCTGCTAATCTAAATGTGCCGATTTCCGCGAGAGCTCACCCTAGTGACAACCTTTCCTATACTTCCCGACACCGTGAACTGTATGGCCAGGTTTATCTACAATTTTTATAGCAGCTACGTGATCTTGCTTTTAATTGATGGTGGCTGCGGAGGGTCTTGATTTTTTGATACAGTTTTCTTAGAAAATTTGCTCTCAGTACTCTTCGGGATGCTACAGCTGTTCGCCCTCTAAAAAGGATCGATATCTAAGCAGTATAATTTGTTCCTTGCCTTCCGTATTGTCGATAGATCCGCCATGAAAAGATGGACGTGCAGCCAGCATCCGAAGCTGAAAACATCTTCCAAACTAAGCGATCGTACGAGGCAGCCGAATCATTGCGAGTGCTCTATGATGCTTGTAATTCAGTGCGGATTTAAAAAAGAGAGTGTTCGATTCGCGAATGTTCTTCTCCATTTACTTGAAGTTTCGTTGAGATTTTTTGCAGCAAATTCACGAAATCTACCTGTAGTACATCTAAGGCTAAACGGCCACCAGAGCCAACCGTGAGTGAACTTTTTTCCAGAATACTGTAAGCATTCACGTAGTATTGGTCCACTACGAAAGTACAGCGCCAAATAGTAGAATTTTTCTTCTTGGTAGATTGAGTGCACTTGTGAGAAGTAGCGCCATAAGTTTTGCTGCTCAATCTAGAAAAGACGTGAATTCGCCCAAACTATTCTCTATCAGAATAAGTTAATGGCGGTTCCGGAAGACAAGAAGAGATTTAGATGAAAAAAAAAGTTGTTGTCTGATTTGATTGCAGATTCGTAACTCAAGTTCTCCTATTTTCCAGCCCATATTTTATTCTTGGCAACTGAATCTTCTAAACTCCCACAATCTCTAAATCTTCGGAAACGCTGATTACGAATGCGTGTTATTTGGGTGTTTAACATTTGCATTCGATCATTTGCTGAAGGTCTGCTTGCTTTTTCCTGCAAGCAGATTGGTGCCCCGGCAACCGTCGGACCCTCCCTTCCCTGCGAAGCTTGGCGTTCCTACTCCTCACTTTGTCTCCCCTCCTCCCCTCCACTGCTCTGCAGCTGCCTCTTCGAACTCCCCAGTTTCCTTGGCGGTTGGTCCGGACGGACAGAACGACACACACATGCCGACAAACCGACACACCAAGGTTGCGGTTTATATAATGAAGTGATACCTACCTTGCACAGAAATGATGCTTCAAGCTGAGGAATGAGTATCTGGTCGTTTCCTATTCGTAAGACTAGTTCTTTGCCGTCGGGAGCGATAGCTAAGTACGTCGCTCCCACCCGATCGTCCCATCCAATTCGTTCAAAAATCTAAAAAGACAACAACAAATGTTATTTTTTGAAGGAGTTACTTCACAAATGGGAGCACCTGGTAACGATTAGCAATAACGTGGTTATTCTGAAACATCGGCATTCCATTAATAACTTCAAATGGCAGTTGTTGTCCCTTTAATTCGTGTTTCTTTTCATGAACATTTGGCACCGGTCCAGCGGGAAGCTATCAAAAATGCCGCTCACGTAAGAACGTTTAGAACGCAAACACATGCAACATATCTGCATCACTAACTTCTGTCGTGTCCCCGCAAGGCTTATTCTTGAAATCGTCCGAAATTTGATGGCATTGAAGCTCACCGCTTTCCATAGTATAAGACGAAAAACTGGTTTCACGATATCTCCTAATTACCTATACTCGATAAGAGCGTTTCCACGTTGATTCTTTCGGTTGATAAGGGACAAAGTATACGGGGTCATTTTCATTCTGAAGCTGAAGTGCATATCTGGTAAAGCAGGAAATGAATAGAATAAGGAGTCTCGTGAATGTCATGATCGGTGCAGAAATGTATTTGCATTTTGGAAGGTCTTTCGCCATGTTTATCACATATACTACGCGACTCTCGTTTGAAATTTCTACTGAG